TGTGCATCCGCTGCCTGCCAGCCGTTTCAAGGCAGGTGCGACATTCCTTTCGGAAGGGCTGGTGGTCATTCTTCAAATGAGCTTCCCATTGGTCCCTGGTGAGCCTTGCCGCTCGCCGACCCTCGAACGCTTCCACCGCAGCCAGGAGTGCCTTCTTCAGACCTGGTGCCCATTCCGCCCACTTTTTTGAGTCTTTCAGCTGCTGCTCCAAGGTGGTGCCAAGACCGTAGGATCGCCCAGGGCCCCTCACCTCCTCCGGCTGCTTCAAAGCCACCAGATTTGTACCCACACTGGTCGGCTTCCGCCTTTCATGGCCCATAGGCCCCTAATCGAAGCTGATCAGCATCATCCCAAAAGCCTCAGCGAAGGCCTTCCATTCAGGGAATGCCCAGAAGCTTGGACACTTCTTTTCATCCTCCTCCTCAAAAGCGTAGGACTCAGGGTCTTGTGGACTTTCCACCACATATCCCACAGCTGGCCCCTTTTTTGGCCTTTCGATCGCGCCCTCCTCGGCGACCACATAGTAGGTCAAAGACCTCAGGAACAGCACCGTGTCATCCGCAACCATAGACCGCAGCTGGTCCGACAGGTTATCTCGCCCGAACCTGGTGGCACCAAAGCGCGTCCTCAGTGGCGGTGGTCCTGGCTGTGTGTGCCTGAGCCTTGAGACCGTTCTGCATGGCGGACCCGCCAAAATCATCTTCACTTTTCCGGAGAGGCAGAGGTGCAGGATGTAGGCAGCCACATGCTTGGCCAGTAGATCTTTGGTCTCCAGTTCCTTCCAGGTCCTCTCATCCGGACCACTGAACAAGTGGAGAATGATCTCATCGGCCTTCTTCAGCCGCCTTCTCACATGCCGATTCCACGGCAGCAGCTCCGGATCAAACTGATCATCCGGCAGCACCCTCTCCAGCAGCTCCGCCGGGACTTCCGGGAAGAGCTTTCGGAGCCTTTGCAACCACTCCACCGTGGTCTTTGACATCGCTGCCATTCCAGGGCCCTCACCGCCCCGCAGCACGGCCAACCTGGCCTTTTGAAGCATCACCTGCTTCTCAATCTCCTTGATGAGCTGCAGTCCTGCAGTCCCAGCTCTTCCGACACCGTTGGACAGCTGTTCTCCAGGTCGGTGTCCAGGATCCTCCCCTTTGAATCCTGAAGCTCGAAGCTCCTTGACTCCCACTTGATGGCATAGCCCAACTCCGCCAAGACACCAAGCGGCACAATCGGCTGCACAGGCTGCTGGGTCACAAGGGTCTTCGTCCAAGGAATCTGCCTGAGCATAGCAGTCCCTGAAGCAAGGGCCACTTCGACCTCAATGCCTGACTTCCATTCAGCCTCGTCGGCTGCTTGTCTCAAGCAGTGAGTCGCCCCACCATCAAGAAGAGCTCGACGATCTCGTACTCCAAGGGCTGAGATCTTGACATCTTCACCCTCCACTTTGCAGATCGAGGCCTTACCATCCCCAACCTTTTCTTCTTTCACTTCAAGAGATGAGATCTTCACATCCTCACCCCTCACACAGGTCGAGGCCTTGACATCCTCACCCTTCTTTTCACAGGTCGAGGCCTTACCATCCTCACCCTTCTTTTCTTTCACCTCAAAAGATGAGATCTTCACATCATCATCCTTCTCCTCCAGCTGCAAAGCCTTAATTGCTGGCAGGTGCAAGGTCTTGAGCAGGCCCATAGCCTCAGACAAGATCCCACCGACCTCGCCCTTTCCTTCCGGCTTTCCAGAGTCCTTAGCACCCTCCGCCGGCTTCTCCTCCAACACTGACCCATCCGCTGGCTTGGACTTGGTGACCGACCGCACCTCAGGCTTACCATCCAACTTCAGCGGACCCCCATCTTTTTCCACTGACTGCACCTTGCAATCCTTCTTCATGTGCTTGGAAGATCCACAGTTCCAGCACCGTCCCTTTTTCCCCTCCAGGTCGTGGACGAAGTGGCAGGAAGCCCCACGCCAGCAGCCATCCTCGGACTGGAAGTAGCGGCAAATCCCCTTAGAGGATGCCTGACCTTTTCCATCATCAGTGGTCTCCTTCTTTCGGGTCCACTCCTTCTTTGCAGGTCCAGGTCCATCACCACGGCCGTTGACCACCCCATTGGCGCCCCCAGCTACACCACCAGAGCTTACACGCGGAGCTAAAGCCTTGATCCTCGGACCACCATTTCTCTCCACACCACTGTGGAATGCCGTCTCACCCTCCGCAAGGAGCGCCTCCGCAAAGCCGATCACTCCCTCCAGCGTTGGATTGACATCCACCATCAATTTCAAATTGGCTCGGATCGCACTGAGCCGAAAGGCCGATTGAGTGGCCACTTTTCCAAGAGGCTGGGACAGCTTGTCCAAAGCCCCCATCAACAGAGTCGCGTCAGGGACATTCACCCTGAGCTCTTGAGCTCTGCGAAGCCATCGGCGCCACATCTGCAGCTGCGTGACCATCTCACCAACCGATGTAGGCACTCGCACTTCCACCAACTGCTTCAACAGGTGTGCCCGTTCACCCAGCCCACCAGGCTGGTAGCGCACCAAGACCTTGAAGATCACCTGCACCGAGCTTGTAGCCCTCGTAGTGAGGATTTCCATCTTCAGGCTTTCAGGCAAAGCCTCCATCAACATAGCTTGTACCCTTTGTTCCAGCCTCAACCAAGGCTGCTGCTGACATGCCACCGGCAACCGAGGCATCAAGTTCAGCTTTGTCATTGGATCCGACCTCAACCAGCGATCATAGGAACCGACCGCCTCAGTCAAGACCACTTCCCACCAGGCGCTTGAAGTCGCCGACAAATCCTTCATCAGAGGAGTGATCAACGTGATCCAATCCCCTGCAGCCAACGGGCCAATCTCGCCCTCCTTCAAGTCCGGCAAGGCCGGCAAGGTGACAGTCCTTATATTTTCATCACCGTGCCCCATCCATGGCCAGCCGCCACATGGTCCCATTCATGGACCACCAACACCAAAGCCACCTGGTCCCCCGCCAGGTCCGCCACCGCCAGGGCCGCCTGGGCCTCCAGGGCCTCCAGGGCCACCAGGGCCGCCAGGGCCGAAGCCGAAGCCGCCGCCGCAGCCGCCAGCGCCGACAACGCCAATCGCGCCAGCGCCACCATTTGGTCCACCAGGACCTCCAGGCCAACCAGGGCCTCCGCCAGGTGCACCACCTGACCCACCGGCTCCAAAACCGAAGCCACCATTTCCACTCGGACCCTGACTTGGTCCACCACCCATCATGCCCTGCGTGCGACCCCCATGGTCACTCGGGCCTTGTCCATGGCTAATTACCCCTTGACTTCGGCCAAACCCGCCATCAGCGCCCACACCACATCCAGACGTAGCACCATTTCCATTTTCATCACGCCACCTTTCAGGCGTACCAGGGACTTTTCCCCTGAACAGGCCTCCTAGCCAAGCCCCCATGCCATCTCGACCACCACCACCTTGTGGAAGGCTCTCCGGATCCCTAGGCGACCTTTTTGCCCCCAGGCATCCACCATCCTGCGGCGTGTTCTGAGAATCCGGCATCTCACCGGGCACTTGACGGACCGGAGTCCTCATTTCCACGGCTCCCTGATCACCATCATGACCAGGTCCACCAACTTCACCATCCAGCTGCTCCCCATAAGCAGCCGCTCTGTCCTGCAGGGCTTTCACCTTCCTCTGTGGCCTCTCAATGCCAGACCCTCCATCTCCGGGAGGAAAGAACGCTTGTGGCTGTCCCAAGGGCCCTTGGCTCACCGCACCATTTTCCACGGCAGCTGTACGGGCCCCTCCAGGGACTGTCCCCCACAAGCTCCCCACACTGCACTGATTGCCACCAGCATCCAGCAACATCGCCGCTGCACCGCCCATTTGACCAGGGCCATTCCATACACCGCTCAGCTGTCCTGAGCCATTCATTGGTACACCGACCAATCCTTCAAGGCTGACACCCGTTGAAATCGGCATCGACCCGAAGCCAAGCCCGCTGCAAAGGCTCGCACCATAGGTCAGCCCGACACACGCTGTGTCCTCCTTCTTCTTTTCATTAGCTTCTTGACCTTGGCGTAAGGCGAACACCTCCTTTTGCAGCTCCAAATTTTGCTGCAGCACCAAAGCCACCATACTTTCCACATTCATAGACCCACGAGGCCGATTTTCCTGAGCTTCATCATCTCCAGGCCTCGCTTTCAATGCCATCACAGAATCCACGACCTTCCCGGTATCCACCCCGCTCCATCGCGGGAGGTAAAGACTTAGGCCGCAAGCTCCTTAGGACTGCCTCCCCCTTCATCCTTTCTGACCAGAAGGGGTTGACCGGCACCGTCCTCTTTTGCGAGCTTGCCGATTCCATCGAGCTCGTCCAGCTCATGGAGCGCAGCTAAGCCTTCTTTGGGCTCATAACCCACGTGGTGACCTAAACCGGTCAAAAAGGCTGCAAGTGCCTTTTCTTCTTGAGCGCAAACAAAGGGCTTCGGTCATGCCCAAGTAACCACATGTTCAAGTGGCATCATGACGTGTCATCAAGACACAACCACAAGCGATATGTATAAATATACGTTGGGTATATCCATTTGCCTGTAACAGTGTATGATGATGCTAAAATAGTGATTTTTTGTTTGCCGACTGTTACAGGTAAGACACATACAAACCAACATGGACCACCTCACAATTTGCCAGGCAGCGACAAGGATGACCTCTTCTACTTTCAAGGTCGCCAAAACCAAACCCGCGGCATCTTCTGAAAACCATTGAACACCTGCCAACGTTCTCCACCATACTGTCTCTTTATCAGTTACCCACCCCACCCACCGGTCTACCATTCCCCCCCCACTAAAATAAAAAGGACGCCAGACAAAAAAAAATAACACAAAAACATCTATGATAGAAAAAAATACACTCCCTTAAAAAAAAAAAACGGAACAAGAAAAAAAGAAAACACACACTCCCCGTGTAACGTCCTACCTGTCCACGAAAACGGTCACGTCCGTCCTACCACTCCGCCCCCCTTTCTTCCGGGCCGCGGGAATGTTCTGGGCTCGGGCTTCCACTCCCCACGCTGGCTGCCGTCACGCGCTTCTCCTCCTCTCCATCGGCGTCCGCTGTTCCACTCGGCGCGGCCTGGAGAGTTGGAGCGAAGGAGGGGCTGGATGTGGGTTCTTGTAGAGGGACCCGAGCTGAGAAAGAACAAAAAGTGAGGTGAAGATCTTTTATGTGAAGATGTTGTTTTTTTTTGGGGGGGTGGCTGTGGTGGGTAAGATGAGAGTGACAGATCTTTGGAAAGTCTACCCCCTTTGAGGTCTACCCAATGTTGGAGTTCATTCATAGATGGATCAAAGCCTCTTCGGCTATTCCGCGCATCAGCAGCTATATATGGATGAAATCCCAAAATCCCAAATCCACTGAGAGGGTCATCGCTGGGAGACCTCCAATGATTCACCCTGGGAGACCGACCTCACTTGCCATCTAAGACCACACGGGTGTCCCAACTGCACATGGGTCATCTCAGTCATCTCATCATCTCATCCACATGGGTCACGACCGTTCTTCTGGAACCTTCGAAACTCCTCCGGCCCAACGGCCCTCCGTCCGGAAAACCAGCGCGGACGATCGCGGACGGACTGCGGGTGGACTCACTTTCAGACTCGGTTCACTCTCCAAAGAAAGGAAAAAGCCACCATCAAACCAATGAAGGAGACCTTTTCAACCCAGTGAACACTTCTTCAGCCAGTCCTGAGTCACTATTCCCGACCCAAGCGGGCTCCTGTGTCCCATCTCTGAGAGTGTTCAGGTAGTTCAAGACTTCCTCGAAAAGGACTTCCACCTTCCGCGTCGGCGCGTGGGGATCCGAGGGTCCGGGTCGGAGGTCGGGCCTGCGGGTCTGCGGCCGTCGGCCCCTGCAGCTGCACTGTTCCGGGGGTCTCGGAAGAGTTTACACCAGCTGGTGATACCTGGCACGTTCGTAGCGTCCTTGTCCCGTTCGAGTCGCGATGCCCTTTGTTCCGTTCGGTTCGCTTCTTGTCACCAGTAATGCCAGGAGCTACGGTCGTAGCTTCTTGCTCCACTGCTGACATCTCCATGTTTGCCGCCCCGGGTGCTCCCAACATCGGCGATCCCCAAACCCGGTCGACTCAGTCCAACGAATGAATGTTCTTCACCCGAAGGTTTGCAAAAGGAAACAAGGTCAATGAATCAGCGCTCCATTGATTGAATGGTTATTCTTGTCATGTCATGCCCTACAACCTGTGAAAAGAAATCCCCGCCACACGAGTGGATCAGGGTCCGTGTCTTTTTTTGTTTGCGCGGAATGACCAGTGCGTCCACAAGTTCGAGACCCAACAACCATCGTTTTTAGTAAACATGTTGCACTACAAAACCAGGTCAACCATTTCGAACGGACGGCTAGGCCGCTTGTGACCAGCACCACCCTGAAACAGGTACACCACTCAGTTCGGGTGGTTTGATAGATGCTTTCCCCGGAAGAGCAAGCGAGAGCAAGCGCTTTCCAAAGGAGCATCCTGCGGGTGGTGCAGGCACTCTGTGGCAGCTTCGTATTGCAGTGTTTCAGGGAGGTCATCCTGTCTCCTTCCAACCATCCACACCTCCGCCTGCTTCAACCAACCAAACCCATCAATTCATTCATGCACCCCACCGGGTGCTGAAACAAATCGGGTAAAGCATGGTGCACCCGACACACCAATCCAATGTTTTTGAAGCATGGCAACTAAAACCTGAAACCTTATAGGTTGCCCCACCCTCCGGTCCGAACCCACTCTTCTCCAACCACAAGCCCACATGGGGCCCCAACCGCCTTGCCTTGGTCTCCATGCGCCACACGTCGATGGCCTTGGCACTGCCCCGCAACCGCGCGGCGCCATCGATGAACTCGTGCAGCCTCCGTGCGGTCTCCCGAGTCCGAGAGGGTCGGAGCGATGCGAGGATGCGAGGCCGGAGCGATGACGGAGGAAAGGGAGGCACCTGTAAAGACCTGTGGGCACGGCGTGGGCGTGGACTCCTGTGGGTTTTGGGTCAATTTTTGGGTTTGGGAGGTCATCCAAGCAAGTCTTGACCGTTCACTGGTTCCTTCAATCTGCTTTTCTACAGATACCTACAGTACACCCGTCTAGACGCATGTCAATGAACAAATCTGTGGTTGATCAGCACAGGTGGTGGAGGAGCATGTGTCGGTGCAATCATGTGCAGTTAGATGACGCAAACAAAAAGTCAAAACCTGTCAGGAACATTTTCCTATTTGGGGGACCGTGGTCTATCATGTTGAATCTATAGAGTTTATGTAATGTATATTCATATATATATATATCCCCTAAAAACCGAAAGACCACATGCTTGTGTCGCTAAAGCAAATTTGTTTCTGGGCCACCTGGTTTGACTAGTCACTCGTCTCAGATTCGTATCTGTTTCATTTGGATTGAAAAACAATGTTGGGCAGTGGAAGAAGATCACTCCACCAAGCAAGTGGTGGACGAAGAGTTTATTTGCTGGGCAAATGTTGGCAGTTTTGCCTTCTGCCATTCCATCCTTTGCATTTGCTTAAGGAATCGGAAAAAAATACTAAGCAAAGCATGGACCCTCTTCACTACTGGAAGGTTGTCGAAAACCCTACCAAGCCCCAACGGACACCAACACAAGCTATACTATACTGATTGGTGATAGCAAATGAATTCTCTGACACATCAATCCCACCTAGCCATCCTTCCACCTCCTGTGTATAGTCCCTATCATCATGCCCCGGACTCCAGGTGCAGAGAGTTGCGACAACCTGTGGACGACGTTCCTATATCCTTCTCCCCACCTCCTTGTTACTTCTTGTTTGGAAAGTTGTACAAAAATCCGTTTCGAGGACAACATCAAGAAAAGTAAGCACAAGCCCTATAATCTATAGGCTTGAGCCAGGATAGCTATGAGGGAATGATCTCCTAAGGACACTTTGAAGTTTGCGGCGTGCCAGGAGCTGCTTGCAACGACACCGCCCTGGTGACCTCCCTGGATGCTGGCAAGCAACGTGATATTGCCATCGCCATTGTCCAAAAACCTTCGCATTCCATGCAAGATTACATCAGAAAATCTCGCTTGCACATTCGTCGCCAACGGAAAACATGGCCCACGGTCGCTCAAGTGGCTTTTTTGGACTAAGCACTTTTGAAAATCTGTGGGCCCCGTGGTATTTTTGAGCGAAAGGAAAGCTCCTAAAGCAAATCCAAGACGCTCGAAAAGGCTGAGCAGGTCATGATACTCCAGCCTGTGCCCGCACGACATGCGTTTCCGTCACGACTCCTCGAACAGGCCCTGTGGGTAAGCCTGAAGGTGCCCCGTGGTGGGACACGCAACGGTCTGACCGCCAAACAAACAAGTGCTTCTTCTCAACTCTCCCTGTGCTTCTCAAGCCTTTCGCGTGCTTCGGTGGGTTCTGAAGTGCCCAGGGAACGAGTGCTGTTGCCCTTTTGAAGGTGGAACTGAGACCCGGTAGTTGGGATTTGGAACCACTTTGCCGTCGTCACCTTTACGCAAGCCGTGCACTTCTGTCATGCCCAGTGATGGGAACCTGGCTTGCCATGGCTTATCTGTAAGTACTATCATGGCTTTAGGGGACCTCGGCAAGACGCGTAAGGTCTTCGGATTCCTTCTTGGGAATCTATGCAAATATGTCTCCGAGTCTGCATACACGGTGCAAAACATGGTGAACGCTCGCGTTCTCAATTCGGATTGGGTGGCCCAGGATTAATCGTTAGCAGTAGGATAGGGTTGCGTCATGGTGTTTCTGCCCCCCACAGGCTCGCCATCTAAATCAGCAAGCTCTGATTTTTTTCTATGGAAGCGTGGACCATGAGCCATGTGAACCACGGATCTCACAGTTGGCATTTGCGCTCTCTTGCGTTCAACCACCCATTCATGTGGAAGTTTGGATGTGTACATTTCACGATGGAAATCCATCTGGAAGGTCCACTAGAATTGAATGATTACAACAGGAATCCAACCAAGCTTGACTCTCCTGAATCATGGCCCCTGCGAATGGAAGAACTTCTGCATTTGGTTGAACCAACGCTCCACTCCCTGACCTGCTCACCAGAACTTAAGCCTGAAAAAAATCTCCAGTTCATGAAGGATTGGTCAGAATACATGGTGAAAGGGGCAGATGGGGCAAGGGGCTGACCAAGACTATTTTCAAGAGGTGTGCATAGATGGTGCTGAATGGCGTTGCAGTTCTAGCCAAAGATGGGCCTCGCTAATTTCTGAATCATGGAAACCCTTTTGAAACAATCACTGGGTGTTGGGAGCAGCTTGATTGATGTGAAACATGCTTCACTAAATGCCTTTGCTGGATTCATCCCTCCAAATGGTGCCTGGATCTTGGGGCTTTGAATGGAAATCCGACCCCGTGGAGCTGCGAATCCAGTTCTGGGTCTGAGTAGAGTAGACCAAAATGCACTCTTTGTCGACATCATTCCCACCTAGAAAGACCTTTCAGAGTTTCAGGAGTAGGCTGGCTATTCTGCAAGTCTTCTGCATTGAACAGCCTTTGGATGGTCCTGGTAAACAATGCAGGGTAAATCGTTTTTTTTCAAAGCTGAACAAATTCTTAGTATTGTTGATTGGTATCCTTCAACATTTCATGTTAGTAAACAGCAAAAGCAGATCTAGGACACCCCTGGTTGAAGCTCGTTCTGCGGCCAAAACAAAGCATAGAACAAAATGGGCTGTGATGTATGACATCGTTTTAGCTTGTCCTGGAACCGGTTCCAGTGGATGCAGCTCAAGAGCAGGAGCCCGAGTTCAATTCCGTGAAGTGAATACTGTAAGTCTGACCTCGCTCTATCACTCTTAACATTGAAAACGGATCACCACCGGATCCTCCAGGTCGGAAAATTCGGATCCTCCCTGCTCCAGGTCGGAAAAACCGGAGGTTGCCCGTAATGACATGATGCCATCCAAGTCCCGGGTCAGTTTCCACAGGGATTGGTCCGGACACCAGAAGTCCCCGATTCGCCGGGCTGCTCCAATTGACTCATCCAGAACCTGGCGGTGGACACCGCGAGTTCAAGCAGAGAGCGGAGAGCGTGACTGGCTTCGTGGCTCATCTCCTGAAGCTTTGGATAGAGCATACCAACTATATCAGTTCGTACTTTTCTTGAAACATTCTCCAGTGTTGGCCTTCGGTTCAAAAGACAAAAGGGAATTCTTGTCCGGGTCACGTGGGTGTGCCAATTCTTTGAATAGCCTTGGACTTTGCGGGCTGACTTGTACTGACTCTTTTGGAGGGCTTTCAAGGGTCACACCAATTGTTTATCAGAAATCACAGCACTTCGCCCGCATCCCTTTGGTTTTGAGAGGGTTTGGGGGGTTTGACCTACCAAAGACCCCCTGAAAGGTCCCTCAAAAACCCAAGTTCAAACCCTGGAACACTTCAGAGAGGGTGCGTGTTCAAGAACCCACACTTCCAAGGCATAGGATCGATTCACCATTCCGAGGATTCGGGTCATCGTCGGGGTCTCCAGATGTTTGGTCTAAAGATAAAATAGCGCACTCGGGCGAACTCCCTCAACACTCTCAGACTTCTCCTGTGTGTCTCGATGACCAGGCAATTCGATCTCAGACACATTGACATGGTGGGTCGCAGCGCAGGAGACTGGATACTAGATCTGTTACTCCAGTAGATCAGGCTCTGCTACCTATGCCAAAGCAACTCTTCCAAGTAAACCCCATATCACCTCTACCATGCCCAAGTCTATCTCTCGCTCAGCTTGGTCGTGTCCACCTCGAAGGCTCTCAAGGGCTACCAATCACCCTCCCTCCCACTGTAGACTCTTGATGATATTTCTACATATTTCTACCCCCCAGGCCATCTTCGGAGAAGCCTCCAACCCATCTTCCGGAGGCCTATTGATCACAAGTCTACCATCACTGCACCCCCCCTTTTTCCGCTGCTCCGAAGCAAAACCGCTCCGGTCCCCCCGCCGAAAACCAAGCGGGGGAGACCGAACCGATCGGAGGTCCGTCCGCCAGCTTTCGAGTCCAAACGCTACGTTCGTAACAAGTGCCTGACTAGTAGTAACAATGTTTGCTACTGGAAACAATAAGGGTTCAAAGGTCGAAAGGTTCGTTCCAGTGCGTTCCGGTGCTTTCCTCAACCCTCTCTCTCCGGTGTTCTTCGTCGCGCGCTGCGGTCGTCTCGCTCGTCTTGCCCGGAAAAAAGGTCCAATCTCTGGTGGTCTTCGCGCCGGGAACGCGGTCCGTCCCAAAGCGCCGCGGTCCGGCTGCCCGTCGGCGGCACCTGAGTTTGGGCGACTTCACCAACTTGGAGAATTCCTCAAAGTTGATCGCTCCATCGCCTCTTCAGGCTCTTGGAGGACGGTGTTCCCGGCCCAGGACGACCCCTGAGAAAGGAACCTCCCTGAAGAGGCAGATGATCGTGGGTGTGGAAAATGGATGCGAGAGATAGACACTGGGGTGATGATGAGATCTTGTGAACAGGAGACATCCTCTTGAAAGCAACTGATAAGGGAGATCCTTTTCTAGGTTGAAGCGATGAGGGAACTGTGTTTGAGAAAAGTGAGAAATGGTGAACATGGCCATGTTACGAGATAAAGTGTTGGGTGATGACTCATGTTCTAGGAAAAGTAGAAAAGTGGCTTCAGCAGGGACCTCCAGTGGGAAGGTATTTGAGAAAAGTGGGACTGAGGGGGAGAAGACTCACTTCCCAGTCAGACGGTCGGATCATGTCACCATGTCGGATCCATCTGTGGAGTGGTCATCCAGTGGTTGGAATCGATTAGAGGAGTTGCTTAGGGTTTAGAGAGCTGAAGGAACCACCGCAGCCAACTGGAAAAAGGACGTTTATTCTTGCAGTGATTCAAAGAAACTGGGGTGACCGGTGACCGTTCCCAAAAGAAACATCATAAGTGATACAGTAAGTCTCACATCTAAGACCAGTTCCCATTGCTCTTCATCGCTCCTTTTTGGGCGACCGGTGCCTCCCAGACCGGTGGACCTGTCTGGAAATACCCGATCGAACCATTGGTGGGTTGGTATGCCAAAGAATCCTTGGTTTTACTAAAGATTTTAGAGATGTTTTTCAGTACAGAACCAGGTCAAGCATGTTTAAAGCTAGGGCTACTGCTCAGAAAGACAGTGGCAACACCTGCAGAGCACCAACACACATCCTCAAGTATGGTAAAACATCAAGTGAAATGAACAAGGTCACTCAACGGCACAGAACCACGGCAAACTGGGCTAGAAGCTGCTCAACTGTGGCGTTCTCTGCTTAGGAGGGCCACCCAAATACTTCAAAAACCGAGGACGGCCCCCTGCCTGAAGAGTCCATGGTGGCAAAGAGTTTCTTGACTTTTCGATTGTACCTGCACCGATTGAACTGCGACCAGCAGAAAAGGTGCTTTCCCAACAGGAAGAGAACACTTCGTCCATGTCTCCAACCAATTCACCTCCCAATTCAGCGGCACGAGGGATCTCTGAACAACAATTCTGCCACCACCGTGGGACGACGGATCTGTGCACTGATGCGAGTCACCACAAAAAATGCGCGTTTCTGTCGCGTGCGCACTCAGCTGCAGAAAAGCCCCGTGCTTTTTAGGATCGGTCCACTGAGATTGGGAGACTCATCCTGGATCCAACTGAAGTCCTTAAGAATGTGTTGCTATGTGTTTCCTTCCCCAAACAAACAGTTCCAACCTTTCGACATGACGGACGGAACGTCGTCCCACCGGACGAACGTTCCGGCGGAAGTGGCTCACTGGGCGATGTCCTTCTCCCTCTGTTTAAAGGCCAAGTCCTCGTCGCTACTGGCGGTCTTCATGGTCTGCTGCACAAAGACCTCGGGCTGCCCAGAAGAGGACTGTGAAGACCGGAGGGAAGCGAGGAACGGGAAGAGGTTCATTTTCAGATGATGCCGTGGTGCTGTCAATGGGGTGGTGAAGTCCTTCTCAAAAGTGAAAGAGTTGCAAAGACCATTGAATTCGATCCCAAAGACTTGTGGTGCATACGTCATAGATCATCATTGATCTTCATGTTGGATCTAGACACCACACATGGTCAAGTCCCGGATGTTCCAAGGCATTAAGATCCAAACCAACCGACCCTGTCATTACACAATGCATGATCATAGTGCTGAAGTTGCCAAAAAGTCACGGCATTCACCACGTTCAGCACCGCGAAACCCAAGACACACCTGGCAGGGATGTGCAAACTGCCTGGCCTGCCTGGTTCGGAAATTCCGCGAGGCACGGTACTTGAGTTTCTATCTGGGACAATGAAACCATGTCAAACCATGTGAAGCCATGTGAAACCATGTTTTCAACCCCCACCTGAAACCATGTGGTTTTAGTCCCTCTTCTCCGCCGAGAACATTTAGGTCTCGGACACTCTCCCTATTCTAACGCAAACCTCGTTTTAGTCGGCGATCACAAGGACCCGTCGGCCAGGGGTAGGAACTGCACAAAGAATGTTTTTCAAGTCTTCATGCTTCTGACCGAAGTCACAGGCCTCTGTGAGTTGGCAATCCTTGAAGTCAGAAGTGCACTTTCTGACCATTCGGAATCTGACCTGATCATCATTCCTTTCATGTTTCGGAATCTGAATTCAAAAAGTCTAAAAGCGTAGCGTGACTGTCGGGAGCTGGAAGTGATGGTGACCCACAAAAGGATTTCACTTCCAACCACCAGAGGCAAATGGAGTGGCCATGCCCAAAAGATCTCGCGGAGGCTTTGCTTTCGGTCCCCCCTAAGGATCGCCCCGCCCGTCGCCTGTAGAAGAGGAAGAAGATGGAGAACCACTCGCTTACGTGCTCCACCAAAACACGGCAAGGGGGGCTCCAGTTCGCGAACATGATCTCAAACCTGGGCGAACAGAGAGAGAATTGAAGGTGGCGGCAGCTTATCAGCAGCTAGCCCCACCGCGCTAAGCGGCAGCGTCATGCGAGCGGCGGCCAGCAAACAGTGCAGCACCTCGCGAGTGACGCTCATCGAGCAAGTCCTTCTTAGCTTACACAGCCAAGCCAAGACGCGTTCATCCTGAGTGCAAGGTTGCACTGGCCAACCAGTTCGTTGGCCAAAAACACGTGTGGGAACCGAGAAGCCGGTTCCAAGGATCTGGGACCGGAGATCATCCACTTGCTTGCAGTGCCATGCCAAGTGAATCCAGGTAGGAACACACTTTTCATGACAGTAAGGACAACTCAGAGGAACATCTTCCTGTTCCATCCTTTGGAGACACGCTGGGCTCACCGAAGAGCCACACAAGATGGCGAAGAACGGACGCTGCACCGCCTGCTGTCGAGCCCACTTGGAGGAATCGGGCTTGTAAACCTCAAGTGGGTCCACGACGTCCAGCATTATGGCGCTTAGACCAAAAGAAGCGCCGAGTACTTCCGCGGATGTGATGAAGTGACACTTCGAGTGCGGGCATCTGCGGAGCGCACAACGAAATGGAGGGGACCTGGGGGTGAGACCATTTCCAAGGACCATCCAGGACCACCCCCACTCCTTGAGACACCTGTTGACAATGCCAGCAAAACCTTTAAGAGTCCACTGACCAGGGGATCGAGAGAGAACATTGTAGGTGGCGGCAGCTTATCGGCAGCACGCCCCACCGCGGAAGACATAGTCGTATACGCTAGGCAGCGGCTGGGCACGCAGCCGCACCTCGGTCCGGCGGCCATACCGATCCTCCTTCCTTAGTTGATGACAATCGCAGGACGTTCTCGTCCTTGGCACCAGACTGCACGGGCCATCCTGCACGTTGGGCGCAGAGGTCTGTCGGGATCGTGAAGGTAGAACCGAGAGTCTGTGCACGCTGCTCCTGCAAATGGCAGGCCAGGTGAGTCCAGCTAACAGAGAGAACATTCCCAGATACATCTCCAAACCTGGGCGAACGAGGGAGAAGGTGGAAGGCGATGGCCGCTTATCAGCAGCAAACCCTACCGCGCAGGCCCAAGGTCTACTCTACCCAGCAGCACGCAAGTGCCGTTCGTCGAACATGACCCGCCTCAGCTTTGCGAGCCAAGCCAGGAACTTAGTGGTTGCTTGCAACGGCCAACCTGCCCTGGAAGACGCGTGTCGGAATAGAGGAATTCGTCCGTTGGGCCCTATGTTTGCTCCAATATTTGCATTGCCAAGCAAGGTGAATCCAAGTAGGAACACACTGTTCAGCGCAGTACTGGCAATTGTGAGGGACATCAAGTTTCATGATTTTATTGAGACATGTAGGGCTCATGGAAGAGCCACTCAAGATGGCAAAGAAAGGGCGTTGCAGTTGCACGGCCTACTTTCGGACCCACTTTCAAGCGTCTGCATTGTACATTTCCTGTGGACATGAGTCGCGATGTCCAGCGTTATAGTATAGGGCGCTTTGACCCAAAGAAGCGCCGAGCATTTTCTCTAGCGTGGTGAAGCAACTCAACGAACATGCTTTCGGAGCTCCCGGATTTTCCGCCGTCTGCGGCACGTCTGCGCGGCACATGTCTTTTGCCCTCAGAGAAAGAAAGGGCCACACATACTTTTTCGGCAGGTGTGACCATGAAGTACCCTCACATTCTAGAGATAAAGAAAAGGCCGACGCAAAGCTCTACCAGCGATGCATCGCTATGCGCTGCTGCTGCTCATGCGCATAGGATTGCCACGCGTGTAGAACGTCTTCGTCTGCAGCGCCGCTGGTGGGCCACCCGACGCGCTTTGGGATCAGCAAGGGAGGAGCGGAGTTCCTGATTGCGGTCCAAGCATATGCAAAACCGTAGAGTCTCTGAGACGACGAGGATCGGAGACCGAGCGGAACACTCAACTTGGTCACTTCGGACAACGCGGCGCGACAACGGCCTCCCGCCGCAGCAACGGCTCAGAAATGCCAGCCCAGCCTACTAGGCTCATAGTTGCTCCGGCCGAGACGCTGAAAATTGGGTCCAGTTGAACCCAAGGTGTTCCTGCACGTTCTGACAGAGCACGGCTTCGCGACGACCTGAGTTCAAGAAAGCACTAAAATGATACCCATTGACTTTTGCAAGGGATGTTTCCCCCTATCGAACACGGCCTTCGCTAACAAATGTCACCGAGAATCACATGAGTCACGCTGTCCGCTTGTGGAAGCCAGGTGAACAGATGGCTGGCTGCCAGGGACACACGTTGTCAACAACAGCACCTTCAGCAAAAATAAAAGGAGCTCCCGCGCTCAGCTCGTGAGTCTCTCGCTTTTCACTCAACCCGTGCAGGACCCGCGCAGATGTCCGGTTAAGCTCATGACCCATCAGCTTGGGGTGGCCGGAAATCTGTTCAGGACCAGCTCACCGCCGTGGGAGCTTTTGCGAGCTCACCACTCGCAGCACCAAAAGTCCGGAAGAAGGCTCCTTTTGGGGGAGCTTTTTGGGAGTCTGAAGAAGGTGTTGGTAAAGAGGGATCAGCATTGCAGCAGGGCATAGTCGTGTGCATCTGATCGTCCACCCAAGCTTTTCCAAAACAGCTTAGTGTTGGGGTTCTCAATGTTTTTAAGTGTGTCCACCCCAGTCTCGGCTGGTGGGTCCGCGGCAACTCCTTCGTATGGCAATTGATTCAATTGTCTCCCAGTCCGGGCAGATGTGTCCGCCTTCTGGCAATTCGTTAGTAGCAATTCTTTGCATTTTTCTCACAGTCGAGTCTAGGCTGGCTCCTTAGCCTTAGTAGCAATTTTACGCATTTGTTTCTCATGTGTGGCAACCCCTATAGTCGCAATTCAACATTTTCTCCCAGTCTGGGCTGGTGTGTCGCTTCTGGGGCGTTCTGGCAGCCCGTTCGTAGCAATTCTATGCATTTATCTCCCAGTCTGGGCTGGTGTCTTTTGGCAACTCTGCGTAGCAAGGCTGGTGTGCCCGCCCAACCCCTTCGTAGCAATCATGTGTCTCCCAGTCTGAGCTACTGTGTCCGCGTTCTGGCAACTTGCTAGTAGCAATTCTATACAAACATCTACTTTTGCCTGCGCTTGTCTTATGGCAACTCCTTGAGTAGCTGTTCGTTTCTCAGCCTGCTAGTGTGTCCACCTTCTGGCAACTGAGCAGCAATTCTTTACATTCGTCTTCCAGTCTCGGCTACTGCATCCACCTTCTGGCAAGTCCTGGGCAGCAAACCTTTCCATGTGTCTGACACAATTTGCCACTAGTGTGTCCACCTTGTGGCAACCCCTCCATGCCAATTCTTTTCCTCTTCTCCCCCGTTGGGAACTTGTTAGTAGCAAATCTTTGCACATGTCCGCCTGCCTTCTGGCAACTTCTTAGTGGCAATTTTTTACATTTTGTTGTTTACATTTGTCTCCCAGTCTGGTGTGTCCTCCCACCCTGGGCTAGCGTATCTGCCTTCTGGCAACTCCCTTGGTCGCAAACCTTGACGTTTTCCGCCAGTATGGGCCAGTGTGTCCGCCTTCTGGCAAACCCTCAACAATTCTCTATATTTGCCCCCCGGTCTGGGCTACTGCGTCCGCCTTCTGGCAAAAGCAATGCCTTCCAAATTGTCATCTTTCAAGATGCAGCTTTATGGCGGTTCAACTGTTTGGGGTCTATGCTATATATGTAATTTCAGGAAGGTTCGCAACCAATGTCCCTGGTAGAAGGCAACAAACTCAAAGACATACCGATGAGAGACCAAGTATCACCTTGTCGAAGGGACACACATTGCGGGGTCAGGTGAGGATCACGCCATCCAGTTGCATCAAGTGGATTTGGCTTTGCCAAACGGAGGAAATGATCGCATTAATTTAGGGCACATACCCACTCCGAAGAAACCATTTCGTGATGAAGCTGGGGTGAAGGTGGTCAGAGGTGAGACGATTAGTCCAAACCTTGGCTGGCAGACCGACAGAGTGAGAGAGAGAGAGAGATCGCCCGGTCCTTGGCGATGAAAGTTGAAGGTGACGGCTGTTTGGCATACCTTCAAGCCTTGCTTTTCGGAGAATGGCGTCTGCCTGAAACCCCCGCGAAGGAACGACCACGACACATCCAACAAGCGGATGGGAGGTGAGCTGGACTCGGAAGGTCACAAGAGGAGGGCAGGCGCGAAGAAGACAAGGACCGAAGAGAAATGTTGCAGATCAGGCGATTTTGGGCAGTTGCACCTGATGCAGATTCGTGATTCCGTGCCACTCCCATTCCTTTCGCCCGGTCCTCTCGCAACTGACCACCCATGCGGGGCCGACTGCACGGTGGGTGAGGGACCAACGGCATCCTGGCCCACCATTGATTTAACGGTCTGAATCCCAAACAACCAGTGCTTTACATATTGTTTTACTAAACTAAGGATTTTACACCTACAAACCCAGGTCAACCTTTGGTTGAAATTGTCGAAGGGAAGGCTAGGGTGGAGGGTCAGGAAGGTGCAAGTCAAATCCGCCGCAGTTCTAAGATCGAGTTCAGCGTCCTTCCCCCGTCCTTCCCCCATCGAGTGCAGCGGAATCTTTCGAGTCCAAGCAACATCGACAAGAAGGTCCGTGTGAACGTACCTTGGGGGTCGAGAGAGCACTGTCTGATGTTTACATGTGTCCACAACCTTGAAGGACGATGCTTTCGGCTCCTGCTGAGTCGAGTACTCCTGTTTGTGTCATGCACCGACCATGCAAGTTGAACGATAGAGGGATCATGCATCCTTTCAAATGGCAAGGATGGTTCTCTCCCCAAAGAGAGACACCCAATCTTCAGACCTTGCCTGGTTTCGGGCTTTCTATTGTTTCAGGACACCGAAAACATCCAAACACCCTTAATCAACTTTGATTTGGAAATATCCACACGCTGACGCTGGTGTTAACATGCCAAAGGTAAAATCACAAGGTGAAATCTTCTCTCAAATCCCTACACTCCCTGAAATCATCATGGGCCGTTCGGTGGATGGCATGGCCCCGAGTTCGGACGGCCATTTTCCTCTGTCCACCAGATTCTTTCAGGGAGTCCGTAGTCATATCCAATACGGGCAACTGACAAAGTCCGACCCCAAACCAATGAAATCAATAGAAATGCATGCGGGGCTAAAGCATGACATGGTCGTTTCCCTGTACCCCGATTCCCTGCCCTAAACACCGTGCCACCATCTGTGCGCGCGGACCCGGTCCGCGTCGCCCCTTCGCCCAGCAGCCATAGTAGCGAAAGACGTCATCACGGAGCTGCACATCCTGCGATGGCAGATGGACGTGATCGCCCCTTAGCCCATGGACGTGTGGTCTGTGGCAAACAGCCCCTGGGTTTCCTCGAGCTTACAAAATGACCGTGTCGACCACACGGCTTCTCCACCACCACCACGGTCGAAACCCAAAAACCCCACGCCCCGTTCCCCGCGGCGGTTGGATTCGACTCGTCCGGGGCCGTGACTCGGGGGTCGTCGGGATGTCGTGGTTCGACTCGGAGGTCTCCTGAGTCTCGTCCTTGATGAACTCCCAACACAAGGTGGTCACGATCCTCGGTACCACCCACGGCGGTACCGGTGCCGGGAGTGGTGGTGACGGTCATGGACGACCGTCCACCACCCCAGTCCCGTCGGATTTGGTGGTGGCCGTGCTGGGAAGAAGCAGCATCACAAGACATCAGTCTCTCCTTAAAACCTGTTCAGGCCGAGATTGAAATATCAGATATCAAGAGTCCTATCACATTGCAATCCGTCCCAACAACCTCCCGACAAAACTCCATGAAGACAAAAGAACATGGAAACATCCCTTAGCGACGCAACGGTTGGGTGGACAGTGGATGTTTCCTTGTGGAGCCCTCTTGAGAATATCAAGGTGTCCTCTATATATATATATATATACGACTGGCTCTGAAAACACTCTGAAGAGACCACCAGTTTAGTATACGCAATCATAAGCACGCGTAAACAAAGTGAATTCTCTTTTGGGATGTTGGCGCCTTGGAGGTTTTTTTTGGATGAGGTTTTTTTGGATGTTGGTCACTCAAGGGGGGGAGAGGGTCTTCCCCAAAGCCAAGAATGATCTCCCTGAAAAAATGAAGTGGAACATAGGCCCCGAGTTCGGAAGACCATGTTCTGCACCAAAAAGAGCAGGTGGCCTTCACTCCGCGTCACGTCACGGTGGATGATTTCAGGGAGTGTACAGTACCACTTGTGACTTGGCCACAGATTGTGGTGAGAGATCCGATCGCACAAACAGTGTCTTTGTGTGGTCTTTTTTTGTCCTCACCTGGACGGCTTCGTCTCATTAAAATTCGCTGTGACCCAGCAGGCCTGATTGGTGAAGGTTTGCACATCCCTTACATCAATCAACGATGAATAACCTCAACCCAGGTTGAAAATCGCCTTCAATCCGTCTCAAGTTCCTTGCACCGTCGTCGCTGGGATTTCTGAGGGAGCGCTTGAAAAAAGGGAGGGCAGTCTTTACAGCAATGCCTGCCCCAGCGGGAGTCCGATGCTTCCTACGGTCGCCTGACACTGAGTGACACTACTGCTTCGCAGTCGTCAGAAAAGTGCCGCGCCGAAATTGAGACTTGGGGATGCCATGTAACCACGGCACAGACCTTGCCCAGCCTCCTGAAGCAAGTGCTTTGTCAACTGGAAGGTCTTTTTTGGCGGATTACTCATGCAAACCAAAAGAAGACCGACATGCTTTACAGAGGAAGACTACCTTCCATCATCCTGCTTGGTGGTTACATGTTTCGACATGAATGAGTCATTAGGATGTGTCATCCCAGGTAGAGGTTGGGGTTAAAACATTCTTGTATAAGATAGACAACAACACAATAATTGAATGCAACTTGCACAAAGAAATATGACAAGAAAACCTGAACCACCCACCCCCAACAAATTTGGGTTGAATTTCAATGCAACATCATCGGCTGCCGCATGCTGCTGCTAAGATTGGCCTCACATGCGCGTGTGTATCCTCGCAGCCGACACGTGGCCCGTGGTGCGTGCTGCTGGTGATCCCCTCAGCCATGCAGCTGTGGGTCATGGCACCAGGTGGGTTGACCTTTCTGGGGTTAAGCTACAAGGTGGAACCACGGCTCCAGGTTTTGACCCAGCCCCATGTGGCTGTGTATTAAAATAGGGAGACCCCGTTGGGGGGCTCCCTATTGAAAGACACGCCCATGGACGACCTGGACTTGCTTGGCAAACCTGACGATCCGATGGAAAGTAGTACGACTGGCACACCACTCCGGGCAGAACTCCTTGCAAGCAAGATTTGTTCCTAGTAGCGTCCTTGTTCCTATAGTAGTGATGCCAGGAGCCCCAGG